GCAGCATGTATTTATTAAAAACGTTCATTATGAAAGTAATGTAATATTCATTGACACTTTTGCGATATTGCTCCTTTGATGCTGGTATATATACGCTGCTGCTGCTGCTGCTGGAAGCTGATGTAATGTACACACAAAGGGAAAGGAGAGCCCGTATAAAATTTTTATGAAAACATTTATTCGTAAAAAAGAGCCGCGCGATACGTATATAATACGTATAAACAAAAATAAAAGACGTTCTTATTTAATCTCGGATATCAAAGGTCCATTAAAAATTAAATTTGAGCGTTAATTAAACGGCTCGAGATTCAAATTCGAAATCTACGAGCTGCGCAGCAAGATGTGCGGGACTCGATAAAAATGATATAATTGATCTATGATATTCGCTACTACGAATTACCGACTTTGCTGCCGCTGGCATCGGCGAGGCAGCGAGTATATACGAATTTTGGCACGAGCAATTTCGCCATGCATATTAATGCCACGCGCGCACCGGTTTTCATACAAATGCACAAGAGAGAGAGAACACGTGGGGGGCACGCGGGCAGCGACAAAGTTAATTATTTTCATTGAAAGACCAAATAAAGTAGAATAATTTTTACCCGTTCAGCGGCGCAAACGTCGGAGCTTTTGATTATTTTGACGCGCGTTGCGTCACCGAGAGGTTGCTGCCGTTGCTGCACAATTATTAAACGAAAAGGAACCGACAGTAGCAGCGGCGGCAGCAGTTGCCCCACATTACGCGCTGCTCTAATTTTTCATTAATATAATTACAGCTGCAAGCGCGGCGCGCTTTCAACGCGCGGAAAACCCGCTCTTCACTTTTCGCAAAAAGAACGACCTCCATTATACGTATATTATTTGCGTTTGGCAGTCCTTTCGCGCGCGATAAACGTTTGCGCGCGCCACGTCGTCGCGTTCGGGTTGGCGTATAATATCAAGCGGTGCGCACTCGATATATATAAACGTATGTATGTGTAATGCGCCGACGACGTGCGAGCGAGCGAGTGAGAAATTCCTTCGAGGATCGCTTTCAAAAAAAATTATAATGAGATGCAAAGAGTATAAATATAAAAAAGACAAAGGGGAAATCGAGCTGCGCGCCGTGCGATCCTTTGAAAGGTGCGCGTCGTCTATGAGCTTTTTTCCCTTATTCAGAACTTTCTTCTTCTTCTTCATTTTTTTTATATATTTTTTTCACGTAGACTTTTGAAGGTTTCCGTCCAATTGTGCGCGAGTGTGAGAGCTGGGTTTCTTCTCTCTCTCTATAAAAAAAATACTAAAAAAAAAAAAAAAGGGAAGAAGTAAGTAGGAAGGAGAAGAAGCGATGAGGGTGACTGAGAGAAAAACATACAAAGCGCTTGACGTTCCTCGTTTTTTTCTCTCCGTCTTATTTTCGAATGAAAAAGAAAAAGAGATTTAACAATTTTCTAAGAAGTATAATGCGCTGCTAGAGAGCTAGCCACCCGCGAGAAAGTTCGCCCGAGCTCTCTGTGCGCCGCGCGGCTTAACCGAGGCGCGCGCGTGTGGCACCCCTAATAGCGCACGGGAAATAACTTTTTTTTTCCTTCTTCTTCTTCTTCTTCTTCAGCTTTAAATGACTCGAAAAATATATAATAATTAAGGGGGGAGAAGGGGTGCAAAGTTGAGCTTGTTAGTGATCCATTGATCGAATGATTGACGGTTACAAACTTATGCAGCTGCGAATATCGAGGCGCGTCGCAGAATCACCCATCCGCGCGCAGCCACAGCGGCAGCAGCAGCTTTCGAAGCGTATACATAGAGGTTTCCATATATATACACCAAGTGCCTATAATTACCCTTTAATAATTTGAAAGTGAAAATTGCCCGGTAATTAGACTGCGGAAGCTTTTTAGAAATCGAGTCACGCAGCTCTCGTGGCTCGCAAGCGTCGCACCACCACCGCCGCACCACACCGGTGCTGCTAATTTTTCCTCGCGCTAGCTTTTCACTGTGTACACGTATATAGTTTTTCCCGCGCCCAACACATTGCGCCGCACAGCAGCAGCAGCAGCAGCAGCAGCAGCAGCAGCAATCGATAAATCCGCACGCGTTTAGCTGCAACAAACACGCTCGCACGTACAGTGCATAGATGCTGTATATGTATATATATTACGCCGAGCAGTGCACCTTTGTTATCCTCTTAATGCATTCACACGTCCCGCACGTACTACACACGGTCTGCAGCAGCGACACACGCGTATGTATATATACGAGAATGGCCATTTCGGTTAATTACGCGAAAGGCCTCGTCGTCGTCTCTCGTCGTCGTCTCGTGCGTACGTGTGTACGTGTGTGCGGGGGCGTTATTGCACTCTAGACGAGCATATTACGCCGGGGCTTGTATCAGAGAGCAGCAGTGGTGCGGGTGCCATGGGCGACCAGTGACCTCTCTCAACGTCACCTAAGATGCGTGTGTGCGCGTAGAGAGAGGACACTATCTACACGCTCCACGGATTAGGTTTTAAACTTTCTAGCTCTAGCCTAGCGCTGGATTCCTGTACATATATATATTTCGCGCGAAACTTTCTCGCGGCAAAGAGACAGAGAGAGAGAGAGTAGAGTATAGGGTACAAAAAGCCTCTGCGCGTCGCGCGTATATGCCTGTTAACTCGATGCCTTTATTTTACGCGACTAAATGCTATTATAAACTTTCCGGGGTGGGTAATTCGCCCAAGAGTGATTACAAAGTGGAAGAAATTAAAAAGTTTGAGTGTTTCAGCCCAGCCCTGCGCGCGTGTGCCTTGATTCCTTCTTTCTCGCCCTGCGCCCAGGATTATAATTCCGGCCAAATCGTCCTATGCTGCGATTGTCGCGTAGTTACATCGCTATAACTGTGATTGTAGCGCGTATATACACGGAAGCGTCACAAGTAGTTTAGATGCAGGGCCTGTACCCGAACACTCGTCGAATCGATATATATTTGCCGAGTTGGAGAGATGTCGATAGTGTAGTAGTAGTACATAATTTGATTTAAAAGTTTGTATTTGCCAGCAGCAGCAGCGCTGCTTAGAACATTTTTTTTCTATTCGTTTCTCTTTTTTTTTTTTCGTTGTTGCCTATGTACTGTTGCCGATAAGTCGAGATGTAGCCGAGAGTGTAACTTTATCGAGCGTTAAATTGTATGCGGTTTAGACATTAAAGCCGTATACGCGTATACGTACTGCAGAGCAAATTGTATTAAGATGCGGCGTCAAAGTAAAAATTCATTAAGAGTTTTAAATTACGGCTCGCGGATAAATAAATTTAATTAACGAACTTCAATAAAATAAATACACTTTTATACGATTCGTTAAAGCAATTTTATATTGTACGACGGACAACTCTAATAAGACAGGAAGTGCGTGAGAAAAGAGATGATAGGTATTATTTCGCACTTTACCTCTCTTAATTCGCGATTCGTCGCAAATGAAGAGGTCAAAGAAATGGAGAATCGTTGAACGAGTTTTAAAAATCTTGGAGAAGTCGGAGGTTACTACACTCGGTGCAGAAAAAAATATAAAGTCCGCGGAATTCGAAACTTTCATTTTTATTAAATACGATATACCGCTGCTGTTACTGCTGCTGCTGCTGCCGCTGACGGCTGCGCGCCAAGCGCAAAGTTCCTTCCAAGGTGCAGTACACAGCTGTTGCATTTACTTCGCCGGCGGGGTAAATTCAGTTTGCGCGCGCGAGAGTAACTTTGAGCCAAATTGTGCATGGACAATCAAGCGAATACAGAGCGCCGAGCGCGAACGCCTCTTTCGTTTTACGCATTATTGGCAGCTGCACTGCAGAAGTCAACGAGAAACAAGAGGAAGAGGAAGAAGAAGAAGAATATTTGCTTATTTTCGAGTCTGAAAGGGTTGATGTATTTGCATTTGCAGTAATGAGAGACCTACTGAAGCCGCCTCTGAATCAATTTATTCTTTATTAATCAAATTTTACTCTTCTTTTCTTTTCTACGATCTTTAAATTTTAGTTAAATTTAAAAAATTATGCAGAAGTATTGATTTAAAATTTTTGCGTCACATCAATGATAGATATAAAACGTTTATATCTCTTCATTAAACATAATTCACCAACTCATTCAGTGGTTTGAATTTAATTTATGATTTGAAACTCGCTCGAGAAATAAATAATGGCCAGATGTTACATACCAGGTGTAATTTAAAAATTTAGATTTTGCGGGTACACGCATGATAAATTATCAGCATATTTTACCCACGTACAACACTTTCAAACCGCTACATTACTCAAGAAATAAGTCGCTTTACATTTTGGAGTAATATTCGGGGCTCGAAAAAAAGAGCTTCTCAAAATTAAGCTCGACTCAATCACGCGTAAAAATACGACCTATTACGCAAAAACGTATATAGAACGAGAAACTTTTATTATCTAGACGCGACCATCTGCGTTCCGGCTCGTTCGGGGGGTTGAAGATTTAAAACAACGGGGCGAGGGATTCGCAAGCGCGATATTACGTTTATTGTAAAACAGGCACACAAGCGTTCGCTTAGGTACGGGGGCATGAATTACGAGATCATAAAGCTTTATTTGAAAGCTTCTGTGCTTATTCATATGGACAATGAATATTCTCTAACCCATATTATGACTCCTCGGGCTGCGTGTGTGTATACGCGTATCTTTTTACGAGCCGTATCATGAATCACGGCCCTGCCTGTAATTTTAACACTGATGGTTTTTTTTTCTGTATTTTGAGTTAACCGAAAAAATTTTGATTTATTAACGCACAAGTTTTTGCGAAAAAGCAAGCTTCGCTTTTTTTTCTGTTTATCGAGATCCCAATCACCGAAGTTATTGATGTAAACGACGTTAGACGTGTTACCGCTAGATGGCCAACACATCAATTTTCACTACCCGTTCATGAAAAAAGTAAGTGAGTAAATAAGTAAAGTTCAAGGGATAAGAATAAGCTTAATTTTATTCAACTCGACTCGACATGCTTTTTATTTTAAATAAAGTTAAAGTGATCATACCAGCGACCCTTGCTTCCTTGCAGGCCTCGTACATGTCCTGCTTGACGTCGGGATTGTCGTCGGCTATGGTCTCGGCCACGGTCACGAACCTCTCCACGGCGAGATTCACACCCTGGCCGACTCGTGCGAGCACTCCTGGATTCCGATCGCATCGAAACGGCCTGTCCCTGTGCTGCATCAGTTTTGATACCTGCAAGCGTAACGATTTCGAAATTAGCAACTTGCTTCGATAAATATACAGCTAAATTCTGGCATTATAAGTATATTAAGCATATAACTGTGCTCAATTAATAAATTATTTAAGAAACGTCGTTATATTTATTTTTTGTCAAATGAATCTTATTGTTTATAAACTAGTCACAATGTTTAAGCCACTCATAAGCGATTTAAAATATTTACTTCGCGCTCGATACAAGGGTATACTTTTAATTTGAAAAAAAACAATGCCGTAGATGTAGATGTTGGAAAAAAAAAATTAATTTTTCATGAGTCGGCTCGAACACACACACACGTATGCCGTGCTGCTCCTCGGAGTAAGCGTGTTCTTTTTTTCTGCCGCTAAAGCTCGTAGTTTATTCATGGGCTCGCCCCATTGTATCATTAAAACGAGCAGCAGTTTCGCTTCGAACATGAAACGCCGCGCGCTCACTAATCATTATATACATCCGCGCTCGTTCGAAACAAGGTATCAGTCCGTTTTCTGCACCTCAGACATCGTACGAGATTTAACATTTTGATGTCGTGGTTTTACGAGAAAATCAAAGCGAAACTAATTGTACGAATAATTACATATTCTTACGTTTGAATAACGCATTGCTCCGAAATAAAACGAATTTCGATTAAATTTACTAGATAGTAAACTACGAATGTACATAATAAAGAAGTCATGTGTTGTTCTGCAAAGAGAGAGAGAGAGAGAAAAAAAACACAAAAAAACGTTCTATTTTTATTTTCATGCATCAATAAGTAATGCATTTAAATATTCATAACCCGGTGCTCGACCGAGTGTCATATACCATTTAAATGCACTAGAGCCGCAAGCGTATAATTAATTTATCATCGCAGATATGCACCTCAATGCAAATCTATAATATTACATTAGGAACGTGTATGATGTAAATCGTAAGTAATTCATAGAAACTTCGAAGTGTACTTCGTGTTTCCTGCATACAACAAACATATCGTATACATGCAAACATAGGACTCGAAATCTTCACTCGATCTATTTTTTTTTGCAATAAGGGCACAAAGTCTATTGAAACACGATCAGTTATTCAATCATAAACTCTGTATGTGTGTGTGTACGTCTCGTCCTCGCGATCGTGGCTATTTCAATATTATTATTAAGTTGCCCTCGTTACATGCACCGTATTTTCGTATCCTATACATCCGTTCCGAAAATAATACGCGCGGCAGGAATTAATTCACAACAGCTCATGGGTACGCGATCAATCTTTGCGATATTAAAAGTTCCCTGCGCTGCTGAGATTCTCGTCTTGGAACCCGAAAAAAATTTGCTTCGTGTACTTGCTCGCTCGCTTGCGCGACGCATATAAATCAAGATCATCCGCATTTACGTCAGCGCGGGCAAGGCAAGACACGAGAGAAAAAAAAATCTCGACACAATGGCAACAGCTCCAGTGCCGACCTCTATATAGACTCAAACATCTCTCTCTCTCTCTTGGGCAAAACAATAAGAAGCTGCGCGAGGGAGAAAGACGAGAGTCGGGCCCAACCTCCCCCCCGCCTTTTGTTCTTTCGAGGCTCCGTCGTCTGTGCACTGTATCGTATTGAGAGAATTGCGAGAGAGAGAAGATTGTAAGCCGAGCTAGACGACGACCACTTGGCCTTTTTAATAATAAGGAAACTTGCGTATATTTAGTCCTTGCTAACGAGCAACTGTCTCTTATTTTTTATTTACCCACATTACAAATCACACGATGTGCATTAAGGATCATCCTTTAACCGTCGCCTACATTTTGCATACACCGGCTTACTTATAACGTTAATTGACAAGTCCCACGCGTACACCCGCGTATATGTGGTTTCACCCTCTATCTATACGCGTGACCTATACGCGCCTCGATGCAGCCGGATTCCGATGTGTACGCGAAGGGGATCCGAGCTTATATACGGAGAGCAGAGCTAGCAGCAGAGTTCAGAGATGTTACCCGTGGCATTTCTCTCTGCGGCTGTAGCCCAGCTTTCGAGAGCAATTTAGTCCGATCGAGCTTTCGTTATACGCTATATAACTAAAACTATATACGTGTGCATATTCCCTAGCGTGTGCTGTGTGTACCTCGCGATGCTCGTATTATTTTCAACATTGTTGGTGATGCTGCTTATACTCCTCCTCCGATTGAGTGCGTGTCTAATACAAAGTTGTTTTTTGGCTACCCCGTTTTCGGGAATTAAATATGAAATTTTACGAAGCGCGTCGATTTCGCAAAATATATAACCGCACTTGAAAATTGGGTCACACGCAGCGATGGCACCCCTACTAGCACGTGTCCGTGTGTGGTACGTGCGCTGCACACACCTCGTACTACCGATTGACGCACGGAAGCCGAGTATTAATCTAATCACGCGCCAACCTATATTAGAAATATTTTCGCGCGCGCAGGGGCTGCCGCATTCGAAATACCTCGACATGATCGCGTTCGATTCCGGCGTGAATATAATTTATAGAGTCTGGCGCGTATATCATACCAGCAGATGGACTGGATTCCCTCCCGATCGACCCCTTGGTATTCTGATTTTCTATACCTTATGATTTTAATCGAGGTCGGATGATATCGCGCCGAAGCGTTGATGGAAATATTTTTTCATTAGAAATAAAATTGGCAGCAATTTTTGAACCGCACAACATTCAGCATCATGTATATAAGAGGATGCGCATCGCTTGAAAATTTTAACAGCCAAGCAGATCGAAGGCTATACACAACTTTTCAGTCGGCGAGGATAAATCCTTAACGTTGTCGGAGCGAGGCAATGCACCGCACCGACTCTGCCTCGCACGTGCGCGATAAAAATTGCAGTTTACACTGCGTGAAATCCGTGTAAACTCGTGTGTGTGTGTGTCGGTATAAAACTCAATTTTACGGTCACAACGAAATTTCGCGCGCCAAGGCGAGAGAAGGTCGCCTCGTGTGTTTACACGTGGATATCGTGGCAAGAAAACGAGGCAAGAAAAAGAGAATCGCTTAAATCGTGATATACGCGGTACACGAGAAAGTTATATAATAGAGTCGTTACGGGCGTGTGGGATAGCCAAATAGTCGTTGGGCCGTTCCCAGGCTAAAGAGACGTCGAATAATTGACAATCGGTTCGTTGTCCCCGGGCCAGCGGACGGCGCTCGACTAACCGTGGCAATAGTTGTACCTATACCGATTCAACGGAGCAGTTCGAGAACAGCGCGCGAAAACTAAGTCCGAATAAGTATAGAGTCGAGACAGTCACGTGGCAGTGATTTCTGGCCGGAGCTTCGGGATTCCGTAGAGAGACTGAAGCGTGTTCGGATCTTGGGACAATGCCGTGCATTGGAAAGCGAGTCTTGGCGAGGACTGCATAGGAGCTGCTTCGATCGAAAAAAAGAAAAGAAAGAAGATTCGCGCGAATTCGAGTTGTGTGCCTTGGCCCGGGAAAACTGTTGTGTTTTACACGAGTGTACGCGCGTGCGTAAAAAAACGGATTGTCGGCTCGTCGCTTCGTATTATTATATTCTCCGAGATCGTATCGCGATTGTGTGTCTGCTCAAAAGTGTATCGGACGCGGCGTGTGTATTATACGTGTCTCGGACCTCTCTCGGACAAGAACTGCGCCGCGCATTGTGTGTCGCCGTATATATAGACCATTGTAGACCTGCCGCGTGTATACGCTTGGACGATCATCGCAGCTGGGTCGCAGGTTCTAGCCCAGCTCGTCGTCGTCGTCGGGGCCATTGTCGTCGGTGGAATCGAATAGAGCAGCGCGCGGCGGACTCGTGTAACAAAGTCCATTCGGATTTGCGATTCACGGTGATTAAATCGAGAGAATACAGAGTTGCGAATTTTCGAGGTTGAGAATATGTGATATCTCGCACGCGTATCTATAATGACTTTTACGTCGTGGCTTCGATTTCTACCTCTCTCTCTCTTAACGATGTAAGCTCTCGAAAAGTAATACGCCGTACGTAGAGTTAGCCCTGATCGTAAATGAACGTATAGGGGCCGCCGAGTCGAATTGCGGGCTCGTAATTTTAACAACGCTGCCACACAAGACGAATAGCCGAAACGTACATAAAAATAAGGATACTAGCTCCTCGAAAATCAAATTCCCCCGGGTATCGTGTGCGCGCAGCTCGGATAAAAAAAAAAAGTAGCGGAAAGTACCTCGGAGCTTTAACTGCATGATGCGCGCAAGAAAAAACACACGTTCGTTCGTACGTTCGTTCGGGGTCAGCATCGGCCTATATACAATAGCCCAGGTGTCTAACGTATAAATTGCAAGCTGAGAATCGTATTAGTTTCCATGAGAGAATTTCCCGTTTTACCACGAGATCGACCGCAGCAGCATCTTCGCTATTTTTCACTTTACCTTGTATTATACTTCTCGCGATTGAATATTTATGAGAGATACATACTCCGCGGTTGAATTCTTAATTTGTACCTATATCCATTTCGCATCGAATGAATACGATCTCTCCAAGTTACGTCCTTGACTCACATCTATATAGGAAAGTGTATATTTAAAGATTTTTATAAGTATAATTTTACTGCGAGTCATCTTGCACGTGCGCAGCTCCTATGAAAATAAACCATGGTAATTCCGGGACGAAAATCTCGTTCGCGAGTTCACATGCTCCATCCTTAGAGATAAGAGTGTTTGCTCGCTCTTTAGGGGTTACACTTATTACACCGAGATATATAAGATTTCATACGCGATACGTGAATTTTAGTCTCGCTCTGATACATATATATACGGACACACTGCACGAGCAGCTCAACGAGTCGAGCTGACTCTCGAGCCTCGACGCGGTGAATTACTGTATTACTGTATTACTGTATACGCGTGGTATAAGTACGGGGGTGCATGACATACTTTTCCCAAGAAGTCATGCGCGATCGATTCCGCGCGCCGAAGAAAATTCGCATCGACGGAAGGGCGCGCACACAGCCCGCGTATATACCATATAATGTGCGTACAAATCG